AATTTCTTCCCCATTCAGGGTCCATCTGAACACTGAAGGATTCCTTTTTTGGAGAAAACAACTACTTTAGTTTTCTGGTAGTTTATTTTCATGCCTTCTTTAATACAACATTCTGAGAAAATTTTTAATGATCTCTGCAGACCAACTCTTGTCCGAGAGAGCAGAGCAGTGTCATCAGTGTAAAGCATTAATGGAATACTGTAATTGGCCAGATGGGGTGGATGACAAAACTCATTAAAGGAAGTCAAAATATCATTCATATATAGGTTGCATGAAAAAGGGGCCCAAAGACAGGCCTGTCTAACCCCTTTATTGAGGTTATTGTATTATAGGGTTACCAGCCCCCAGGTCCACTGTTTTGGGGGGCTTTGATCTGCCACTGGCCACCTGGCTGGTGGGGGAAACCCAGCCCCAAACAGGGGCATCATTGCGTGACATCCCCAATGCGATAACATCGCTTCCAGGTGATGTCATTGCGCCAGGGACACTGCACTGCGACACTCTGGTTTTGGGGCAAACTATATGGTTTTGAAGCAAAAAAAAACAACCCATAGAGTTTTGCCCCAAAACTGGAGTGTCGCACATGTTGGGCTAGGGTTGCCAAGTGTATCTTTGCCAGGAGCCGGGGGCTCCCGGCTGGCGTCCTGTGCGTGCGCACGCACGTCACCCGGAAGTGACGGGAGGACGCCAGGCACGCTGGGGGCGGGGCCACGGCCATACAAGGGAAAAACATAGAGTTTTCCCTTGTATGACCGTGGCCTCTCCCCCAGCGTGCCCAGCATGCCCACGTCACTTCCTGGTGACGCGCATGCCGGGGTGGGGTTCCCCCCGGGGCCCGATTCCGCGGCGGTGGAAATCAGGCCTCCAAAGCGGGGCTTTACCCACCACCTGCCCCCACTTGGCAGCCCTATGTCGGGGACATTGTTTGTGATGTCCCACCCACTCTTGGGAGGCCCCCCAAATCCCCCCACCATGACGGCAAGGGGACCTGGCAACCCTATTGTATTATTCTTATCACAGTGATTAGGGGCAGTGGTGGGGGCAGCATCAAGCATCCAGAGTGTAACTTTGCTGTTCCAGTGTATGGTTCCATAGCCACGTAACTCCCTTTTCCAGCCCAGCCCAACCCCCTTCTTAACTAGGCTGAGCCCATGGTAGCTGGCTAGTCAGGGTTCTATATACCTATCTGCCACCCAACACACAGTCAGAATGCACCCTAGAGGGAGCCTCTCTGTTCATGAGGCCAACACAGAGCTATGGGAGCTCCAATTACTGGACAATTTTGAAAGTGTTTGCTGCTGAGGCCTTTATCTCCCCATTGCATATAGACCTTTGTCCAAGTCTACAAAATAAGGCCTAGCAGTTATAGTCTATATTACAAGTGGCACAGCAAAGTGGTGGGGGGAGAGAATCAGCCATGTTCTGCCGCACAGCTCGACTTAACTCACAGTTGCCATAACAATGTGAGCAAAAGACTGTCAGACTCAGATCATCAGGCCCTTTTGTTGGCACTCAGGAAACAACCTAGATAAAGGGCAGGAAAACCTTTTGGTCCTAATGACCAAAACCCACAATGCCTATCTGTGAAGATTTTGGTGGGTTGGCAAAAGCGGGGAGGGGAGAGTCAAGGACTGTACTTGACCAGATATACTGGGAGCAAGTTGAGCCCCAGAGCTGCCACCAGTACCTCAGGGGCTCACCTCAGTCCCTTGGATAGAGATGCAGCCTTGAGTGCAGAGCAGACTTGGCTGGGATGCTTCTGTGCCTGTATGCTGGAGGTTGCCTAGCCCTGGCCTAGATCATGGAGTTACAGGGTAAGAACGTGAGGGAATTGTCTGTATAACAAAAAATGAGGAAGGAACTCTCCTCCCTGCTCTCTGCCTCACAGAAAAGGGAAAAGGGCGAACAGTATGCTAAACAGCAACAATGCAAAGCTGCAATAAAACTCAAATCAGCAGACAAATGAAAAACAAATGCTTGACCATCCATGAAGGTCACTGGGTGGCCTTAGGGTCTCTCTCTGAATCTAATTTATCCTCACATGGTTGCTGTGAGATCCCGTAAAGGAGGGGAGAACCATTTATGCTATAGTGACCTCTCTGGAGGATGAGAAGGATAAGCTGTGACAGATAGGAACTGCTATGCTACAAAAATGCTCCTAAAGTAGTTTTCTGTGCATTTATAAATGTGTTCTCTAAAACACAGACATTGTTCTCTGCGTGTGTGTGTCCCGACGGACAATGTTTGTTAGGAATTTCACTATTTGTGTTTTCCAGATGCACAGATGAGGTTGGCAATTTGAGGTTTGTCCGCAACCAACCAATGGTCCCATGGCTGAGACATGAGCGTTTTCTTTCCCTGTAGGCCCAGACAGATTGTATACCAGCTCTCAGCAGAGTGCCAGCTGATTGCTAGAAATGTGCCACCTAAATCCGTTAACAACTTTTTCTTTTTACCTTCAGGATTACCAAGCCTCAAAGAGACATATGTACACCAAATATTTGGGTTCAGTTCAATCATCACAAAGGCACCCCATTGTTCGTAGGGCACTGCTATGTATGCTTGCAGTTATTTTTCACATTCTCTCTTCCCTGAGTACGTTTTGGCTGCAGTCTTTGCGCCACTTCCTCTGGAGCAGTCCCAATAACGTCTGTGGGAATATCTCTGGAAAGGTGGTTTAAGGATTATATCCTTCTTATTTTGAAATATGGATTTACCATATTTATGATGGTATGGTTCATACAGATTTCCTGGATTGATGAAAATATGGCCCACACCCCTGGACTGGAAAAGGTATAGGGAGTTTGATATTTATGACTAAAACAAAGACTCCCATTGAATTAGACTGATATGAAGTTAAAAACAGCATGCAATTTTGTTTCTACTACTGCACGTTTTGCTTTACGCAAACATAGCACAAAATGTTTTCCCCATCTGAAATCCTATGGGAAAAGAGGCATTTATTGCATGCAGTTGTTTGGCTTCTTAAAATGTGAGCTCTGTTCATTCGAAAGATCTTGCTTTTATCCTTTAAGAAGGATGGCCAACTGAGTAGTTCAGCAGTGATGCTCTCACTGGACCATTGCCATTGACCATGCCACTGACCATGCCAACACTCCTGAACTAACAGGCTTGTGCCACCATTGTTAAGGGCCAACTCATGGGGGCATGTAGCAATCTTCACTGACTGCTTTTGTCAGCCAAGATGGAATGCATGAGCAGTGAAGAAGTGAATACGTGCCTAGATCATGATTTAGCATGATAATGCACTCCCTTTAAAAAGAGCGTTTGCAAGTGTACTCTGTTATGCCTGTAAAATGGTAGTGGCTAAGTTGCCAGTGGCCACCAACTTACTACTGTCTCAGCCTTCACCTCCCTCCTCCTTCTGCAATATGGGGATGATAATACTGGCACGCTTTATAGATTGCTGAAGTAACAGAAACTGCTTTCGACTTTCCAAAGCACTGTATAAATGCTACATATCATTATCAATTGCTGACTGTGTAATCACGTGGACATGTACACCAGCCCAACTGCATGTCTTAGGCCCAAGAGAGAGAGCAGCCGCTAGCATGCATGTCCCGTTGGGCATAACAAGTCCTTGTGCTGCTTTCCCCCCTCCTGAGCTGGTATAGCAGGACTGTTGTGACATGCAGCTGTCTGCAATTAATTCTGTTGCCTTCTATCTCTTCCACCTGCACACCCATTAAAAATACATATGTAAAGGTTCTGGGGTTAATATCAGAGGAGCCCTTCATCTTCCATTTCCTTATTTTTTGTTTGCTTTCATCCCATTATCTCTCTTTAAAAGAGAGCCCTTCATGTTCCATTTCCTTATTTTTTGTTTGCTTTCATACATTTGTTAAAATAGTTCCAAGGAAACCTGATATTCCTGGTACGAATGTGCAACAGGAAGTCCATAGGACTGAAGACTTAAGGGGGCTTTTGTACTACTTCTCCAGTCCATACACACTTCTAAGAAAGAGATGCCAGAAACTGATGCTCTCTGACCTGTATATCAAATGTGCAGATGCAAAGCAGCGGGCATTGTGTTGAGATGGAAAAGCACTCTGCACATGTTCTCATTCTTCTATTATTTTATATTCTGCAGAGCTGAATTCAGGTCCCAAGGCTGAAATTAAGCCTTCCTATATGAATGAAGCCACCGTGGAATCACAGTGGACTGTGCAATGTAGTCTTAGCTTCCAGAAAGTATTTGATAAAGTGTGTGTGCACATGAAAGCTCATACCTTGAATAAACCTTTGTTGGTCTTAAAGGTGCCATTGGACTCTAAATTTCTTGTATCTGTAGTATGCGTGTCTTGTGTTGCCTTTTCCAGGAGGATTCTGCAAACTTGTGGTTGCAAGCTAAAAGTGCAAACCGCTGTTGTGCATCATTATTCCACTCCATATAGGTGCCTATAAATATATGATGTGGCAGCAGTCAGAGTCACCTTGTTCTGACATGCTTTATGAAGATATGGGACCTTTTTCAAAGTTGCCAAATATGCCAAGGCTGACCTCCATCCTTTCCCTCAGGAAGCCTGAAAAAATCTGCTAAGCAAGGAAAAAGAGTGCGACGGCAGAAAGGCCACTTAAATTACTCCTCTTCTTTCTCCCTCCATGTTCCACTGAACAATATCTGTTCTTTACAACCTGGTGTTGTTCAAAGAATTCTTCAGGATGGTGGTGGCGGCGGCATGTGTCATATCTTCCATAACTAAGGAAGCATGCTCCAGTTACTTATTATTTGGTACCAACAGTAAGGGTGATCAGAGACCTTTACCAAAGAACCAGCACATTTTTTATTTGGAACAAGACCAATAAAATCTTTTTCAGGCTGTTTGACAATTTAATGTAAGAGTATTTGTGTAAGGCCTAACTTGTCCAAGAGCACTGCAGAATCATTACTATTATTATTATTTCTTCTTGTACCATTCCTTCATATGATCTACACAATACTTAGTTTCTGCAGCTCGAAGTTAGAAATATGTTGTTACCATTAGCAGGAAGGTAGGTGAAAAGCTGGCACTGGCTTCTCTTTCTCTTTCCATTGCAGACATAGAAATTAACCTGGACGGGACTCGTAATTCTCTGATTGCGGAATGGTGGTACCTCGATCACCAATGATGTCTGAAAGAAAATGTATGGTTATGGTTAAAATAAAAAGATGTATCAACATCATGAAAACTGACTTACACAGAAGACCTCTGTGTAACCATATTCACACACGAGTGTGAGGAAGTCACTTGAAAGCTTGGCAAAAATATTTTCTGTACACTTAATGGTGAGACATGAAGTAAACATTTGTGTATTTTTTTCACCATGTCTCTCTGAGATAACTTGCAAGTGATTGTTTGGGGGCTGGGAAAAATGGGAGACATTTGAGGGGAGACTAGAGACGCTTAGCCCTCCTCCTTCTGCCCACCCTGTTTCCCTGTCAGTGCCTTCCTTACATTTTCTTGGCAGCATGTTCCTACAAGACCCTTTCCCAATCACAACTTGCAGGTATTTTAAAAGAACGAACAACGAAAAGTACATTTTTCATGCCTCGTCTCTGATATGTGTTGTTGATGGATGCTGTATGTATGTTCTTCGGCAATTTACCCAAGTAAAAATAAAATTTCATATCAAGCATTCCCAAGTTTAACATTTCTATAGAGAGATCTCCCCAGATACTCTGAGAAACATTTTATGGTTTAGAAAAGGTGTTGCTTTTGAGTCCTTGTTTTCAATACCTACAAACCCTCACTTCCAGTATTTACCTCAATCACACAACCTGACACGCTTTATGAAGATATGGGACCTTTTTCAAAGTTCAATACCTACAAACCCTCACTTCCAGTATTTACCTCAATCGCACAACATTCTCATCTCTTGGATGTATATGGAACTTTCCAAAGAAAGAAGAAACGTTCTCCTTCCTTGCCACTTTTTATGTAAAATATTTATGTCTCTCTGTTTAATAAAACATATTCAAAGGGGCTTACAACAACATTTTAAAAATTTCAGGTGGACACTAGGTTGTAGCCAGACCCCAGGATTTGCTTCATTCTCCCTTCACATAGGCTTTGGCTAATTTTGCACTAGAGCTGCCTCAATGTTGCATCGCCGTTTGCCCCGATTAAATTGGTCAATTTCACACCCGAAGCCGCGGGGCTGCATTTGACCCACGGCTTCGCCCGATTTCCTCCGCAGTTTCGTGATCCTCAAAAAACAGGATCATCAAACTGCGGGGGAAACCGCAGTAGTATCGGGGCAAACGGCGGCGCAACATTAAGGCAGCTCTAGTGCGAAATCAGCTTCTTCTTACAGCTATACTCTGCCAATAGTCACTGACGCACAGATTCAGAGTGGCTTTAAATGTTACCAAAGCAGAGCAAGTATAGTAATGACTTTGCTTTCCACATGTTATGGTACTTTAAAATGAGCTTGTGAATTTCCAAAGCATGTGATTAAAAGTAGAAATGTATAAGTACTCTTATATTTTCCCCTATAGTTTGTACTATTTTTTTTTAATGTCGATTAAAGAACAATCAGTACCTACACTGTCTGGGTCAAACCTACATGTTTATATATGTACCAGTACACTGACCTTAGGTGTTTGATATCTAAGGAATATGAAAACCAGGGCCAAGGGAGGGATGATAGAACAGAAAAGAAACACAATAATAATTTCCCATCTCTCCCAGTCCCACCCCGAAAGATATAGTTAAAAAAACAACTAGTTACTGCCCTGTTAACAAGGCAAAAAATGCAGACCAGCTTTACTGAAAATACAAAAGCACAACAATAACATTTAAATGTAACGGATGAGCCTACTCCCAAGTAGGAGTGTGCGCTTGTGTGAATTGGCCCCAAGAGCCTTCACTTGAAATACGAGGCTGGGCTTTATTTAAAGACTAACGTATCCTGGAATTTCTTTTTAAAATAGGGAATAAACACAAAAGCTTAGTAAAATATCTGTTACATTTAAATGTAACAGATACTTTACTGTGATTTTGTGTTTACTCCCTTTGTTTAAAAAGAAATTCCAGGATACGTTAGTCTTTAAATAAAGCCCAGCCTCGTATTTCAAGTGAAGGCTCTTGGGGCCAATTCACACAAGCGCACACTCCTACTTGGGAGTAGGCCCATTTAATTTAGTGAGGCTGCCTTCTGAGTAAATATGCCTAGGACTGAGCTGCAAATACCTCACAGCTGAATTAACAAACCTGAGCACAAAACGTGAAGAGAACTTAAAATGTTTGATGCCAGTTCTGTTTAGAGCAGTGGACTGCTTTAAATTTAGCTCTGTTGTTGAGAGAAATATAATGCACTGAGCAGAAGTTGGAACTGCTTCCATTGAAAACATTTGTGTTTAACAAGTCAGATGATATGAAAGTAGTGATGTTTAATCCAGCTTTTTCACACATACAAGTAACCACAGCAACTGAGTGATGAACAGGCATGCATGAAGGCCTTTACTGAGAACCCAAGGTGGGAAGGATATACTTACTGGCTTACACAGCTCTTTGTCAGTTTTGGCTTCCATTTCCCACACATGATGACCATCTAAAATATAAGAAGATACAAAGACGTGTCTAATTCTCTTCCCTTATGATCCCTCCATAGATTTTGAAAATGGGAAGTAAATGACAATTTTCAGACATCCCATAAAAAAACATACAAAGCCATTAGGCCACTGGTCAACCAGCTCAGTGTTGTTTGGCAGAGAAAGTCTCATCACCTGCTAGACTTTTAACTGACATTGCCAGATACTGATTGTGGGACTATCTGCATTCAGAGCAAGATTATCCTACAACTGAATTTCTTCATAAGACGTTAAAAAGGAGCTCTCATTCCTGTCACATTTTCAATTAGTCACCCAGGCTGAACCTGTTAAATGTTTCAAGCGATTTACAAGAAATATGAATGTCCATTCGAAGGGAAAATGGGAATGGCTCCGTTGCTGGAATTTTGAGCAGGGTAAAGACCAGACCCATCTGTTGGTTCTACTTCCACGCCCAGAGATCTGTTAGACAAGCTTATCCGCTTCTACGTCTGTCAGGCCTGCAGGTGCCAGCCTGTTGCTGCACACAAGTTTTGCCTACCCAGCATTTGGAATTCCAGCAAAGGCACCTGCAGTAGGAAACCTGATGTCATCCATTTTGTATATTTATTACCATGCTGGGATGTATTAATGCAAATATTTCTTATTTTAAACCTCTTGCCACATCACTGTTTGCATTTTTAAGCCTCTCTTCAAGCACCAGTGAATGGCCTTTTTCTTCTCTTTTCACTTTCATGTCCAGGATAACAGTGACTCATTTTAAGCTGTCTGGTTTACTATAAATATCTGTAACCAACATGCTTCTTACAAAAGAAACCCCATTGCAAAATGCAGATTATTGTGCACAGCCAGCCCCTACAGGTTGTTTTCCGGTTAAAACAACTGGGGTACCTGCAGAACTTATGGGGGAGGATCTCATGCACTCTCTCTCCCTTGGCAGTGTTTGCAGGCTCTTCCTTACTCTCCTAGCCACCTTCATTGTCTGTTTCTCCCCAAGCAGCCTCTGTCACACCCTGCTGTTTCCTTCCCCTGTCTTCAGCTTTCCCTTCTTACATTTCTGCTCCTCCCCTCTCCAGCTTTACTCTTTCTCCTTCCTACTTGGGAACCTTTTACAATTCTGCCTCTTTTCCCCTCACCCACACTGACACTAACCAGCACTTGGATCCAGCAGTCCCCCAAATACCTACCAAGATTTCGAAATGTAGCCCCACAAGATCTCAGGGGCACAATTTTCTTAAAGAAGCAGACAATGCTTCAATGATTTAAGGGTTTTTCTAACCCCCAATGTATTTGTCTTTTACATTTCATATTTTTCTGCACATGGGCCTTCCCCCTGCCTGTCCCTGGCCTCACAGTATAGAATCCTTGATCCACATTTTATGGCCTGGTTCAGAGTTAGATATAATGATGTTTATTTGTACTCTACAGAAACTCACATAGTACAGATGCTGGTATGATTTTTTTTCAGATTCTCCTAATGTTAATCTTTTATGGTAACCATCTAGAGGGCATCACCATGTTCTCTTATCATTATCTTGTCTGAGTGCCACAGAGGATACAACTGGGCAGGTTTGCATACTGTCCACTGAAGGGATTCCTGTGATAGTACTTCAGTGGCATAGATCAGAACCAGTGCTGCAGCTTCCGGTTTATGGCGACACGCTGAGCAGACTCATCTCCCGGACCTCTCAGGGATGAAATCTGCACACCAGCAGAAAGGGGGGGGCGACATCTCCCTCTCGCTCTCCCCCCCAGAGCCTGTTTGAAAGGCTCCTA